AATAAAGGATGAGTTCATGTCCTTTACAGGGACATGGGTGAAGCTGGAAACCATCATTCTCAGCAAACTAACACAGGAAGAGAAAACCAAACACCGCATGTTCTCACTCATAAGTAGGATGTATGGACACAGGGAGGGGAACATCACACACCGGGGCCTGTTGGGGTGTGGGCAGCAAGGAGAGGGATAGCATTAGGAGAAATAACTAGTGTAGATGACGGGTTGCTGGGTACAGCAAACCACCATGGCACATGTATACCTACGTAACAAACCTGCATGTTCTGCACATGTATTCCAGAACTTAAAGTATAATTTTAAAAAAAATAAAAGTTTTATAGACATTGAGAAAATTGCTGCCTTATTTTCTTATTACAGTAGAAAGATCAGTCATGTACAAATCACAAACAAGAATCAGGTAACCTGTTTATTCTTTAGAAATGAAACTAGTTTCCTGGAATCTTGAATTATTATATAGGCCTAACTCAGACAAATATGAGGACCTATTAAATACCTTATTAAAAGAACCTTCTTAGACAATAAAAACAAAAAACAAAAAGTACCTTCATATAGAATTAGGATGAGACTGAGCATACTATTATGCAAGTATTTCTCCAGAGTTTAAAAGTAGTATTTATTAAATACACAATGTACTTACATGATAAAAATCACAAAGTATAAAGAATGTACAGTTCTGTCCCACCTTATCCACTCCATTTCCTTCCCTATTGTTAGATGACCACTGATACTAGCTTATTATTTATCTTTCCAGAGCTCATCATATATATGTGTACCTGTGTGTCCATGTGTGTGTAGATATGTATAAAGAAGAGCACATTTCCCCTTTGTTTTACATTATTTGTCACATGTAGTTATTTTAGTATATTATTTTATTTCTGTTGTTTATACTTCTCTGATCTTATTTTTGCTTATTATAAGCATATTTTATAGATCTTTTCATACCACTGCATAAACAATTTCCTTGTCCTTTTCCCAGAATTTCATTATGAAAAATGTAAAATCTATGATAAAATTGAAATAATTTCACAGTGGACACTAAATATTCTCTATTTAAATTAAATTTAAAATTTTTCATTAACATTTTAGCATGTTTGCTATGTCACATACCTGTCCATCCTTCTAGCTATCAATTGGTATGTCATCGTTTCATGCAATTCAGAGCAAATTGCAGATATTGGTATACTTTGCCCTAGGTATTTCACAGCATATAATTAATTAGAGTTCAGTGTTTGTTAGAAATGTTTTCCTTTATGTTAAATTTACATACTATGAAATGCACAAATTGTAAATGTATATTAGCTGGTTTTTAACAAATTCTGGGACCTACAAAATAAGAACCCCTGTCAAGTTATACAACATTACCATCACCCCAGAAAGTTTGCCCCTGCCTAGTCATTCTCTGTTCTTAGCCTTCCAGGGGCAACTTTTTCTGAATTTTTTTTTCTACCTTAGAATAGCTGTTCCTGTTCTAGAATAGCATATAGACTCTAACAGCTTGTACTCTTTTGTGTCTGGCTTCTTTCACCCAAGGCTAACGATTTTTTCCCCTAATCTCTCACCTCTCGCTGAAAACGTAATAATGTTTGAGAATCATCTGTGTTGCAATTATTAGCTTGTTTCTTTTTAAAATAATTTTTTGCTTTATTAAAAGTTTTCTTTCTTCGATATTGATACAGTCACTCCTATTTTGTCTTGCTCAGTGTTAGCCTGGTATATCTTTATCCTTTTTTGTCCTCTTAATCTATTTGTGTCTTTATATTTAATGTGGGTTTCTTGTGGGCAGCATGTTGTTACGTTTGCTTTTTAATCCACTCTTATAACCTTTAACTGGTATGTTTAGACCATTTACATTTAATGTGATTATTAATGTGATTGGATTTAAATTCAGATGATCCTCAATTTACAATGGGATTACAGTCTAATAAACTCATTATATAGTTGAAAAATCTTAGGTTGAACCATCATAAGTCAGGGACTGTCTGTGTACCATTTTTCTATTTGTTTTTTGTTTGTCTCATCTATACTTTCCTTCCTTTTTTCTCCTGTTTTACATTCTTTGGGGTTAGTTGTTTTTTATTATTCCATTTTACCTCCGTTGTTGAATTATTAGCAATAGCTCATTGTTCTGTTATTTCAGTGTTGGCTTAAGAGTTTTTAGTATATTATCTTTAACTTATCACAGTGTATCTTCAATTGGGTTATTATACTTCATACATGGTACAAGAATATTACAATAATATACAGTTTACCCTTGAATAGTGTGGGGATTAGGGGGTAGTCAAAAATTCATGTGTAATTCTTAACTCCCTCAAAATTTAACTAGTAATAGCCTACTGTTGACCAGAAGCCTTATCAATAACATGAAGTCATTTAACACATATTTTACATGTTATATGTACTAAATACTATGTTCTTACAATAAAGGAAGCAAGAGAAAAGAAAATGTTACTAAAAAAATTATAAGAGAAAATATATTTACTATTAAGCAGAAGTGGATCATCATAAAAGTCTTTATCCATATCATCTTCACATTGAGTAGGCTGAAGTGGACGAAAAGTTGGTGTCTGAAGGGTGGCATAGGTGGAAGAATATTTGTGGATAAGCGGACCCAGGCATTTCAAACCTTTGTTTGAGGGTCACCTGTATTTACATTTGTCCCCTCCCAGCCTTTGGTAACACTGTTTTGTTTTGTTTTGTTTTTAATGCTATAAATCCCATAATACAGCATAGTCATTTATTCTTTAAAAAGATTTCACTAATAAGAGAAAAAAAAATCTTTTGTGTCTACTCGTGTAGTTTTCATTTCTTTTGTGTAGAAGGTTTCTATTTTGTATCATTTTTCTTCTGCCTGAAGGACTTCTTTTTAGATTTTGTGTAGTATAGTCCTGCTGGTGATTCATTCAACATTTGTATGTCTGTAAACATTTTTATTTTGAAGACACACAAATGTTTGTAAAAGTTTTTATTTTGCCTTCCTTTTGCAACGATATTTTTTCTGAGACATAGAATTCTGAATTGCAAATTTTTTCTTTTAGTACTTTAATGATGCTGCTTCACTGTCATCTTATGCACATTATTCGCAATGAGAAGTCTTCTTTTACCCTTATTTTTAGTTTTATTCCTCTGTGTCTTTTTTCTCTAGCTACTTTTCAGATTTTTCCCTATAGCCTTGGTTTCAGTGAATTTGATTATGATGTGTCTCAATGTCACTTTCATCATGTTTCCTTTGCTTCGGTTTTGTTGAGCATCTTGGATTTATGAGTTAATAGTTTTCATCAAACTTGAAAAACTTGTGGCCATTAGTCTAGTTTTTTCTGTCTTCAGTATGAATGGACAAGTTAAATGGGCAGGTTCATTTATGTGAACTTCATTTAGACGAGTTAAATATGGATCTCATTAATGTTTCCTTTACCTCTGTCATGGTTACTGTTCTCTCTAGCTTGTTGAACATAAGGAATTCAGTTATAATGACGGTTATAAATGTCCTTGTCTAGTTACATCATCTCTGTCATGCGGTTGGATTGGATTCACTGATTTTTTTTCCTCCTTTTTCTATGGTTAATATTCTGGTCTGTGCCTGCTTGATAATTTTTGTTTGGGTGCTGAACATTGTGAATTTTAATATTTGTGCTATGTATTTTTGTGTTTCTATAAATATTCTTGGACACAATTTAGTTAGCTGTGCATAGCTTGGCTCTTCTATTCTTATATTCCCCCCAATTGTTATTGACTTATCTTAGTTTTTTTCTATTTTTTCAAATAAAGATTTTATAGAAACATAATACAGGTTGAGCATTCCTAATCCAAAATGTTCTAACATCTGAAACTTTTGAGTACTAGTGTGACACCGTAAATGGAAAATCCACATCTGACCCCATGTGATGTGTCAAAATCAAAGTGCAGGTGCACAACACGTGCTTTATTCAGCATCCCCAAGGGCAAAAAGACCATCCCAGTCATTTTAAAAAGCTGTCTGATAGAATACCCTCTCATCCCGTCTGATCCCTCAACTGCTTCCAGTACTTCTTTTTGCCAATAAAATGAAAGACAGTGTAGAGTAACTTTTTCATCAAAGTCCAGGTTTGTGGGTGGAGACTAAAAGCCTGCTGTTGTTTAGCAATTCCCAGGTATTCTGGTGATAATACTGTGCTGCTTAGTTGTCTTCAACACGTTTGTTTCACTGTAATGGTATGTCTTTTTTTTTAACTATGAGATATTTTTGTGTGAACAAGTGTAAGAAAATGATTGCTTATTAGCATATAAACTCAGAGTCAGGAATGATGGTGATGCCAAACAACCTCTGAGGGCCCACATGGATGGCCAGGACAGTGACACTGCTGCTTCCTGATGGTTCTGTGTATACAAACTTTGTTTTATTCACAGAATTATTTAAAATACTATGTAAAATTCCCTCCAGTCTATGTGTATAAGATGGATGTAAAACAAATGAGGCCAGGTGTGGTGGTTCACACCTATAATCCCAGCACTTTGGGAAACCAAGGTGGGATGATCACTTGAGCGCAGGAGTCCAAGACTAGCCTGGGCAACATAGACTGTATCTCTTAAAAAACAAACATAAATGAATTTCATGTTTAGACTTCAGTCCCATCAACAAGATATCTCATTATGTATATGCACATATTTTAAAGTCCAAAAAAATTTGAGATTCAAAACACTTCTGGTCCCAAGCATTTCAGATAAAGGATACTCAACCTTTATTAAGTTATGGTTTTTTCCTATTTTTATATTCCCCCAAACTAGAATTTAATTCATACTCTAAAAGGCAATTATAGATATATTTTTATTACTAGTTTCATTTGCTTCTGTTCTTGCCATTATTCATCATTCTTTCCCCGAAAGTCTTTGCAGTATAACCTTTTTTTCTCATGAAGCACTCAATTGGATAAAAGACCCAAAGTCTGCCTTACCATGCAGTATTATACTGTTACTGAAAATTGTTTCTTTGTATCTTTTTCTTATAGGAAACACAGTGGGAGAAGTTATTAAATTAGATCCTAGTGGATCTCCAAGAAGAGCCTGGGGGAGAAGTCCGACAGATTCTGTTCTAAAGATACTTGGAGAAGCTGAACTACAACTTCAGACAGAACTTTTGGAAAACACAACTATTAGAAGTGGTAAGGAGAAACTAGTAGTTTTTCTATGTCAGTGTCTACTCATTCTGATTGCCTGAAACTTTTTTTGTGATAGAGTCCTTAGGAAAGGCTTGTATGAACTCAGAGGTTTTCCATTATCATAAATTTTGTCTTTTGACTTTATTTGTGAAGGTCATTTTGGCTACATATAAAATCCTTGGCTTGCTTCTTCTTCCTTGTCTTTAACATAATTTAATTATATTCTGGTATAAAGCATTGCTACAGAAAGTCTGATGGCAGTTTTAATTTCTTTACCTTACAAGTGATTTGGTCTTTTTGCTAGGATGCTCAAAGTATATCTTTCTTTTTACTTCAAGTCCAATCATTTTCTTAAAATATATTTTGGCATTGAGTTTGTTTTTCTAGTACAATACATAATGTGTCTTTTTAAAAAAGATAGACCTTTTTTAGAGCAATTTTGGATTCATAGTGATACAAATTGGCTCTGTATCCCCACCCAAATCTCATCTTGTAGCTCCAGTAATTCCACATGTTGTGAGAGATGCCTGAATCTTGAGGGCTGGTCTTTCCTATGCTATTCTCATGATAGTGAATGGGTCTCATGAGATCTGATGGTTTTTAAAAAACAGCAGTTTCTCTGCACAAGCTCTTATTTTTTTTGCCTGCCACCATTCATGTAAGATGTGACTTGCCTCTCCTTGCCTTATGCCATGATAGTGAGGCCTCCCCTGCCATGTGGAACTGAGAGTTCAATTATACCTCATTCTTTTATGTATTGCCCAGTCCCAGGTATGTCTTTATCAGCAGCATGGAAAAGGACTCATACACATAGCAAAGTTGAGTGAAAAGTACAGAGTTCCTGTATATGCCCTTCCCCCATGCACACACAGCCTCCCCCACCACCAGAGAGGTACGTTTGTTTTAATCAATGAACCAATATTGACACACCATTATAACCAAAGCGCATACTTTATATTAAAATTCACTCTTGGTGCTTTAATTTCCTTGGGTTTTGACAAATGTATAATGCCATGTAACCACCATTATTACAGAATAATTTGCTGCCCCAAGAATCCCCTGTGCTCTGCTTATTTATCCCTTCCTTTCTTCCAAACCCTGGCAACCACTGATTATTTTACTATCTCCATAGTGTTGCCTTTTCCAGAATGTCATCTAGCTGGACTCATACAGTATGCACTCTTTTCAGATTGGATGGTTTCACTTAGTGATATACACTTAAGGTTCCTCTGTAATCATTTTGTGTCTCAATGGCTCATTACTTTTTAGTGCAGAATGTTACATTGTATGGATGTGCCACAGTTTATCCAGTTTCAAGATGTACTGAAAGACATCATGATTGCTTCCAGGTGATAGCATATATGAATAAAGATGATATAAACATCCATGAGCAGGTTTTAGCATGGACATAAGTTTTCAGTTCATTTGGGTGAATACAGAGGAATACAGTTGCTGGATTGTATGCAGAGTATGTTTAGTTTTATAAGAAACCACCGATCTCCCAACGTGTCTGTACCATTTTGCAGTGGATGAATGAGAGTTCCTGTTACTCTCCTCTCCAGCGTTTGGTGTTGTCCGAGTTTTGGATTTTGGTTATTTTAATTGGTGTGCAGTGGTATCTTGTTGTTTTTATTTGCAGTCTCCTAATGACATGTGATGGTGAACCTCTTTTCAGTGCTTCTTACTATATGCTGCTTTGCCACCTGTACACCTTAGTGAGTTGTCTGTTGAGATCTTTCCCCCATTTTTAAATTGGGTACTTTATTTTCTTATTGTCGAGTTTAAGAATTCTTTGTATATTTTGGTTAACAGTCCTTTATCAAATTTGCCTTTTGCAAATACAGATTGAGTATCCCTTATCTGAAATGCTTGGTATCAGAAGTGTTTTGGATTGGGTTTTTTTGTTTTTTGTTTTTTGTTTTTTTTTTTCAGATTTTAAACTATTTGCATTATACGAGTTGAGCATCTCTAATCAAAAAATCCAAAATCTAAAATACTCCAATGAACGTTCCTTTGAGCATCATGACAGCGTTCAAAAAGGTTCATATTTTGGAGCATTTTGGATTAGAGACAGTCAACCTGTATTTTCTGCTGTGGCTTGTCTTCGTGTTCTCTTAACATTGTCTTTTTTTTTTTTTTTTTATATGTTGCCCAGATCCCCTTTGTCACCCCCAGACCCCCAGATCTTCTTTTTTTTTTTTTTTTTTTTTTGAGATGTTGCCCAGGCTAGAGTGCAGTGGCAAAATCATGGCTCACTGTAGCCTAAACCTCCCTGGGCTCAGGTGATCCTTTCACCTCAACTTCCTGAGTGCTGGTACTACAGGTATGCACCACCATGCCTTGCTAATTTTTGTATTTTTAGTGAAGACAGGGTTTGCCTAGGCTGGGACTGTTGGCTTTTACAAAGCAGAAGTTTTTTAATTTTAACGAAGCCCTGATTATTAATTCTTTTTTTTTAATGGATCATGCCTTTGGTATTTTATCTAAAAAGTCACTTTCAAACTCAGGGTCACCTAAATTTTTCCGATGTTATATTCTAGGAGTTATTTTTTATATACTTTTGCTTTTTTTTTTTTGGAGACAGAGTCTCACTTTGTCCCCAAGCTGGAGTACAGTGGCACAAACATGGCTTGCTGTGGCCTCAACCTCCTGGGCTCATACTGTCCTCCCACTTCAGCCCCACAAGTGGCTGGGACCACAGGTGTGCATCATCGTACCTGGCTAATTTTTGTATTTTTTTGTAGAGATGGGATTTCACCATGTTGCCTAGGCTGGTCTCAAACTCCTGAGCTCAAGTGAACCATCCACCTCTGCCTCCCAAAGTGAGGGATTACAGGCGTGAGCCACCGCACTCAGCCTAGTTTTGCATTTTATATTTAGTTGTACGATTTATTTGGAGTAATTTTTTTTTGAAGAGTTATAAGGTCTGTGCCTAGATAACATTTTTTTCATAAGTAGATGTATACTATTTTAGCACCACTTATTGTAAAAACTATTCCTTTTTTGGTGAATTATCTTTGCTGCTTTGCCAAAGATCAGTTGACTATATTTGTATGGAGCCATTTCTTAACGCTCTATTCATTGCACTTTTTGTCTGTTCTTTTTCCAGTAGCACAATATCCTTATTACTGTAGCTTTATAGTATTTCTTGAAGTCAGATAGTGTCAGTCCTCCCACTTTGTTCTCCTTCAGTTATGTATTGGCTGTTCTCAGTCTTTTGGATATCCGTATAAACTTTAGAGCTATTATATCTGTATCCACAAAAGAGCTTGCTGAGTTGGTTGGGATTATGTTAAACCCAAAGATCAAGTTGCAAAAAAACTGACATCTTAATGATATTGAAGCTTTCTGTCCACAAGTTTGAAATATCTATTGTTCTTTAATTTTCTCATTAATATTGTAGTTTTCCTCATCATAGTCTGTAGCTTCCCATCTTTTTTGTTCCTCTCAGTTTTAGGAGTCTTTTTTTTTCCTCTCAATTTTAGGAAAGTACTCTTGAATTACAGTTTTCTTCCCTCCCTTCGCCCTCTTTTTTTCCCTCCCTCCCTTGTTCTCTCTTTCTCTCTCTCTCTTTTTCTCTTTCTCTCTCTCTGTTTTTCTCTTTCTCTCTTTCTCTTTCTTTCTCTCTCTCTTTCTCTCCTTCTTTCTCTCTCTCTTTCTCTCCTTCTTTCATTTGTTCATCCCTCCCTCCTTTCCTTCCTTCTCTCTTTCTTTATTCTTTCTTTCCTCTCTTTCTCTCTTCTTTTATTTTTTCTAAGAGCAATGGGGTCTTGCTATGTTTCCCAGGCTGGTCTTAAACTCCTGGCCTCTAGTGATCCTCCTGCCTCAGCCTCCCAAAGTGCTGGGATTATAAGTATGTGCCACCGTACCCTACTTCCAGTATTCTGTTCTCTTTCTTCAGTCTTCAGGAATTTCCACTTTGTGTATCTTGGGTCTTCTTTGTCTTTCCTCTCTGTCAGTTTCTCCTTTTTCTTAATGTTTTATTATTAACTATTGTGGGTACATAGTAGGTGTATATATTTATTGGGTACGTGAGATATTTTGATACAAGTATACAGTGCGTAATAATCCCATGAGGGCAAATGGGACACCTAAAGCATTTATCCTTCTTTGTATTACAGACAGTCCAATTCTACTATTTTAGTTATTTTTTTAAATATAGTTAAACTACAACTTATTCTGTATTTTCCTTTTTTTAAAAAATTTATTTATTATACTTTAAGTTCTGGGGTACATGTGCAGATCGTGCAGGTTTCTTACATAAGTATATACCTGCCATGGTGGTGGCTTGCTGCATCCATTGCCCTGTCATCTTAATGCTATCCCTCCCCAATCCCCCCACCCCTGCTATTCCTCCCCTAACCCCTCACCCCCCAGGCCCCGGAGTATGATAGTCCCCTCCCTGTGTCCATGTATTATCATTTTTCAACACCACCACTTATAAGTGAGAACCTGCAGCATTTGGTTTCTGTTCTTGTGTCATTTTGCTGAGAATGATGGTTTCCAGTTTCATCCATGTCCCTGCAAAGGACATGAACTCATCCTTTTTTATGGCTGCATAGTATTCTATCGTATATATGTGCCACATTTTCTTTATCCAGTCTATCACTGATGGGCATTTGGATTGGTTCCAGATCTTTGCTATTGTGAACAGTGCCACAATAAACTTACGTGTGCTTGTGTCTCTGTAATAGAATGACTTATAATCTTTTGGGTATATACCCAGTAATGGGATTGCTGGGTCAAATGGAATTTCTGTTTCTAGGCCAATCTTTGAGGAATCACCACACTGTCTTCCACAATGGTTGAATTAATTTACACTCCCACCAACAGTGTAAAATCATTCCTGTTTTTCCACATCCTCTCCAGCATCTGTCTCCTGATTTTTTAATGATTGTTATTCTAACTGGCATGAGGTGGTATCTCATTGTGGTTTTGATTTGCATTTCTCTAGTGACCTGTGATGATGAGCTTTTTTTCCTGTGTTTGTTGGCTGCATAAAT